ACCCAAAGGGGGTCACTGTGAGTTGGAATCAACTCGATGGCAGTGAGTTTGGGTTTTTCTGTGACTTTGATTAAAATCCTTCCTTCCTTTTTGAGGGTAGAGTTTGTGTAGCTAGGCCAGGACAGCCCAGCCTCCCTCCTGCAGCCCAAGATCTGGGCGTCACTCTGCTCAAGTTGAGCTCGTCGATTTCAGGAGCAGCAGCTGGAAGAGCTCTGTCCCCTGAAGGACGTCGGGGACAGTAGTATGTGGGCTCTATCCCTGAAGGACATTGGGGACCCTGGTGTGCGGGCTCTGTCCCCTGAGGATGTCGGGGACCCTGGAGTGCAGGTGGGAGCCAGGGCACAGGTGTTTTTTTAAAGTCACAGTAAGTAGGCGACTTCAGGAGTTTGTGAAGCTTGTTGTAAAGACGTTCTCTTGAGCCGTTTCACAATAAGATTCCAGGAAGCCCTCGTAACACAGACGGCCCTGTCACTGAGGAAACGCGGTCGTGGAGAACACACCACACTGAACCTGCCACCAGAGGCCTCTTCCCTCCTGTGCGTCCCGCGATCAGCAGTGAGACGCACCTGTGTCCCATGCCGTCGTTGCAGTGAGACGCACTATGTCCCGCGCTGATGTGGCAGTGAGACGTGCTGTGCCGTTAGACATTTACGTTTTTCTCATCCCTGAAAGATCAGCCAGTCTCCCAACAGCTGACAGGAAATAATTTCTCTTGGAACTCAGACACGTGGCCTCTGGGTGACAGCTGAGCGTCTTTGTCGTTTCCCAGGAGATAACACAGTATGCTGAACCTCAGTCTGCTCCGTGGGCGGTGCCTGCGCGGGTCGGGCCTCAGTCCCGTAGAGGGCCACACGGTTGTCTGGGTGCGCAGCCACTGTCACTGACAGTCACACGTCTGCCTCGGGCAGTCTGGCTGTGACCATGGGGGCTGGAAGCTGGCCTACTGGGAGAGGAAGAATCACTCGCCTGGACCAGGCACGTGTCAGAGTGTTTTCAGTGTCAGGCCGTTGGCCCCTCTCCCCTTTGGCGAGGCATTCATGTGACACGTTACCCTCGTTGCCTGTTCGCGGGCTTTGTTGCCACCAACTGACCCCATTTCATTTTTCAAGGTTCTGCTGGTTGGATCTGACAACTTCACGTTGCTTGGCAAGCCACTCCTGGGGTAGGTACTGTTACGGGACGGGTGGGGTTTGGGGGCTGCAGAGGACCAAGGGGACAGTATGGTTAGGCCAGCGGGAGGGGTGTGTGGATCCCACTTGCTTTAAGGCCACAACAGCACGTTCACACATCATAACTGTGGGAAGTGGCCCCTGCGGGGGACATCCAGCCAGATTGCCGACTTGACCCTACCTGTGAGGCCCTTTAAGGCTGGCTGAAGGCTTCCCCAGAGCTCAGGTTCCTCACAGGCTCCCTAGTTTTCAGAACGCTGTGGGCCCGTCACGTTTATTATCAGCAGAAAGCAAAGGAAAGCTGCTTTTTGAGAAATTCTCACGAGGCGTTGGTAATGTTGGAAAGTAGTCGGACACCACGTCATTGTTTTTTCTTCTTCCTTCCAGAAAGGATCTGGTTCGAGTAGAAGCCACAGTCATTGAAAAGACAGAATCATGGCCGAAAGTCAACATGAAGTTCAAGAAGAGGAAAAACTACCGGAGGAAAAGAAGTGAGTCGGTGAGGGCAGCCGTAGATGGAAAAGAAGTGAGTTGGTGAGGGTGGCCCTGGCGTCCAAGGGACGCTGTGCTTGGCTGGGAGGCCCTGGGGGCTGTCAGGTTCCACTGAGGGGGGTGGGAGAGGGAAACGCAGGAGCTGCCGCCAGGGCGTCAGGGGCGACCCTGTGGTCACCTGAACAGCCGCCAGGCTCGTACGCAGCGTGAGGGATGAAGAGGGGCAGCCGCAGCACAGAGCCTGGAGCCCCCCCTTCCCGTGGCAGCTCGGAGCTGAGCTGAGTCACTGGAGAGACCTTAGAGGCAGGGACGGCAAGACTTCCCTCGTCCTTTGGTCGTGTTGTCAGGAGGGAGCAGTCGTGCTTGGTTAGGTGGAGGGCCAGCAACAAAGGGGAAAGCCCTCAATGATGAGTGGACATCATGGCGGCTGAGACGGGCTCAGACGTGGCAACACCCGTGAGGCTGGTGCAGGACGGTGGCATTTGGCTCTGTCACACGTGGGGTCGGTGTGAGTCGGAGCCAACTCGACGGCGCCTGACGGCAGCGGCCATGGAAGGTCCCAGCAGCACGGGGAATGAGCAGCCACCATTGCACAGCAGTGGGTGGGATCGGGTGCTCTGAGGACATTGTACACACAGGAGCCTCGGCCAGGCGGCTGGGACAGTGGAGATGGCACTCGGGCTCCTTGGTGGCAGGCGGGGAAGTAGGGCCAGACGGAGCGGGTCGGTCCAGCAATGTCCTCCCAGGGAGCCCAGGTGTCTGTAAAGTGTTCTCATCGTCAGGGCGGGAGAGGGGCGCCACAGGGCTCCCCCAGACATCTGTAGCCACTCCTCCACCCCACTCTGAGGGAGCGCCTCCCCGGGCTCGGCACAGCTCCCACCGTATCCCCACGGGAGGCCCCCTGGGAGACGCCCCGGAAGCAGGGCCCGGTCCACAGGTGGGTGGCTGTCGAGTCCTGTCAGGGAAACGCCGATTACAACTCTCAGTCGCCAGCGAGCTGCTGGCCTGAGCTGCGGTGCTGTGGGCTGTCACACATCCCCCTCGCGGGCCTCATGCCCAGGGAGGTCAGGCTCTGAGCCGAGTCTTCGTGGCGGGTTTCCCGTCTGTCACCAGGCCTCTCTCCCATGCCCGTCAGTCAGGATGCCCTGCTGGGACCTGCTCAAGTCCCAGCAGCTCATGAGCCGCCCGAGGGTGCTGGCTGCACCTGACGCACCGGCCGGGGGTCGACCCGCTCTCCACACGGCAGGCGAGCGTTCTGCTATCGAAGCACAGCCGCCCCTGCCGGTGTTGTAGGTGCCATCAAGACATCTCCGACTCAGTGACCCCACGTACAACAGAGCCAGGCCCTGCCCGGCCCGGCGCCAGCCTGTCAGCCGTTGCTGTGCTTGAGCCCATTGTTGCCGCCGCTGTGTCCATCCATCTCATAGCGGCTCTTGGTCCTCTGTGCTGACCCTCTGCGTACCAAGCATGACGTCCTTCCAGGGACTGGTCCCTCTTGGTCCCGTGTGCAACGCACGTGAGGTGCAGTGTCGCCCTCCTCGCTGCTGAGGGGCCGTCCGGCCCTGCCTCTCCCGGGCAGGTGTGTGTCGGCTCTCTGGCCACCTCTGGCCACCCCTGGTGCATTCCGTTCCCTTCTCCGCCAGCACCACCGTTCAAGGCGTCAGCTCCCTGCCGATAGTGGGGCAGTTATCCCAGTACCTCAACACAGTAGCATTTTTCAACTGTTACAACAGCCTGAGTGGGTTGGGGTCCCATTCGTCGGCGACCCATGTCCCCTTATGACCACTGCGCTGGGGGTGTCTCTCCTACACCTAGAAGCTTCCAGCCTCCATGTGAGCCCGGTGGTGGCGGCCCCTTCCAGGCAGGCCAACAGTCACCCAGGGTGTTCGGTGGGGGAAAGAGCGGCTGTGGCCGGAGTCACAAGGGCAGGGAGCATCTTGGGGACCCAGGCCCGGTCCAGCTGACTGCGTGTTGCCAGGTGGACGGCATGGGTGCCTGGTGTACGTGGGGGGGCCCACCCCACAGCCCGACAGCACCGCTTGCCGGCAGCTGCCACTGGTTCCTCTCTTGCAGTTATTGTCACACCGCAGACTGTGCTCCGAATCAACACCATCGAGATCGCGCCCTGCTTGGCGTGACCAGGAGCTGCCGGGTACAAAGCTGTAGAGTAAACTCCTTTTCCCCCAAGATGGGTTGTGTTCTGACCGTCCTGCCTCCAGGGTCACGGCAATGACCCTGTCCCTAAGGAATACAGAGATGGGACTCAAGGAGCAGCAACACGGGCAGCGTCCTAGGCCTGGGTGCTTGTGGAACCCCTCCCTGCCCCGGGCCGTGCCTCGGTGGGGGTGTGGGGGCGCAGCTGGGACCTGCTGATGTGAGCGGCGCCATCTGGGCAAGATGGACAAAAACCCGAGACTTCCGACATCAAAGGCCCCTTTCCTGACAGTCTCCTTTTCAAAAACTGGTTGAAATCAGGCAGCTGGGCTCCAGGGTCCTGGTCCTGGTCCAGCAGGGGTGGGGACCCAGGAGGGAAGGGAGACAAGGGGTGCTGGGTGGGCATGGGGTGGGCCCAGAGGAGCGGAGCTTCCTGACTGAGGCGGTGGGAATGGCATGGCCCGAGGCCTGGGGATGCATGTAATTTGATGGCTGAAGGGGTGTCTTCTCGGGAGGCAGCTGGGCCCCAGGGGCCTGTGGGTTTGGGGCAGCCCAGGTTTCTTTGGGAGTTGGACAGGCAGCAGAGAAGGGCCAGTTCAGAAGCTGGTTCAGGTAAAAAGTGTCAGGTCCTGAACTGAGAGTGGCTGAAGAGCCCTCAGAGGCAGGGAGGAGGGATTGTGGGAGAGAAAGCGCCCCCACCCATTCCGTGCCGTTCACAGAAACAGGCTTCCTCCCAGAGCGTGGAAAGGGCCTTCAAGTGACACTAAACCAAACCAAACTCACTGCTGTTGAGTCGATTCGACTCATGGCGACCCCTCCTTGGGTTTCCAAGATGGTATCTCTACAGAAGTAGATTGCCCAATGTTCCTTCCAAGGAGTGGCTGGCGGGTGGCTTTGATCCACCAGCCTCCTGGTTAGCAGTCAAATGCCTTAGGTACTACATGGCATTACTTTTAATCCCACCCCGTCCCCACTGCTGGCACCCCCATTCTGACTCGCAGCACCCCTACAGGACAGAGCAAAGCTGCCCCAGGAGGTCTCTGAGGCTGTCAGTCTCCTCAGAAGCCACGCAGAGCAAATCGCCCCAGCTTTTTCCTGCAGAACAGCTGGTGGGTTCGAATCACCAACCTGTTGGTTGGCAGAGCACTTTAACTCCTGCACCACTAGGACTCCTTCAATCACACCGTAGTTGACTTTTTTCCCTCATCTTTCCTTTGGGCAGTCCATGGGGTCGCCCCATGGCTTGGAGAGATACAGGGCAGTACTACACCAAAGCCATTCCCCAAAACCACTCTGCACCCTACCCCGGCACCTGTCTCCTGTCCCTGTCCCTTTTCTCCCTGTCTCCCTGCCTCCCACCTCTCCCCACTACTACCATCTGGCCCTGGGTGACTCCTCCCCGTGTAGTGTCCTCTGTGGGCAGCAGGGGGCAGTATGGCTGAGTGAGCTGCTGGAGTTTACAGACTTTCACCTTTCCCAGGTTCAGGACCCGGGCACTGGGGAGGGGAGAAGGGCCGTCAGCTGAGCTTTGTAGGGGGTGGGACCAGACCACAGCAGGCAGGGTTGTCCCCTTGTCAGTGCCACCCCATCTGGAATTGACTAAAGTCCTAAGTGACACGTGCTGGCAGCCAGCAGCCCTGGTCCGGGCTGCCCCCTCCCCGGCCCGCCCTCCGGGTCTCGGGTCAGCTGGCGCTGCCGAGGGTCTCCACGTCCAGGTGTCCGTCGGCCCCTGTGGCTCTGGAGTGTTGAGGCTGGTGGCTGGCAGGGGGCGCGGGAACTTTGTCTGGCCCTGTTGTCTGAGGCACACCGTTTGCTCCCTTCTGCCCTCGGCTCAACATGGATTGTCTGCTGTGCCTCCCAGGGCCACCGAGCGCCTGCCACCCCTCCTCCCGTCAGCCCCACTTCCCAGGCAGTATCACCTTGACCTTGGGCAGCTCAGGCCTGTGGCTGCCCTGGCCGCTCTCGCCCTGGCCTGTTCCTGGGAGCTCGTCCTCCCTGCAGATTCAGGGACAGCCTGAGGCAGGCTCCTGCCACCTACAGCCTCCTGGCCGAGCCCCCAGGGCAGAGTGTCCGAGAGTGCAGGGGGGCAGGCAGGACCCAAGGGCTTTCATCACGTTCCGAGTGACATCCGCCTCCTCCCCCGGCCACGTGTGCCTCTGCGTCCAGTGGAAGTAACCGGAACCTTGCGCCGAGGTGCTGGGTGATTGTAGGAGCCGACAGGTGGAGGCGGGGAGCCCCACACCGCAGCGGGGGTAAGCCATCAGGGGCGGCTTCTCCCTGGCGCTGCGTCCTCCCCTCTGAGCTCTGAGCCCGCCCAGCCGCAGCCCTGGTGCCATCTCTGCCCCTCCCCGCGGGCTGCCTGGTTCAGGTTTGGTTCCAGCCTGGCTCTGCTTGATCCCGCCCTGCTGGCAGTGCCGTGGCCCTGGGCGCTGGGAGAGGGTGTGAAGGTGGCCGCGCCTCCGGCACACACAGCAGAACCCAGCTGCCCTGGAGCAGGTGGGGGCCGGCCTCGCCGGCTGCCCGGACGTCCACGTACATGAGGAAGTCGACCGCAGCCGTTTCACGTCTGTGGGTAGTGGCGTTGGTTACGTTCAGTATGCTGTGTGTCTGTCACCACAATCCGTTTCCAGAACTCGCTCGTCACCCCAGATGGGGTCCGTGTCAGCAGTACTCCCGCTTGGCCTCCTCCACCCTGGTAGCCACTAGTCGCGCGTGGTCTCCATGCGTTTCCCCATCCCGTTAGCTGGTGTCAGCGGGCACAGACAGTCGTGGTCCTCGTGTCCGTGCCCGAAGGCCTCTCGTGTCTGATTCCCTCCGTGTCGTGTTCCCGAGGCTCCTCCACGCAGCCGCGTCGGGACGTAGTTCACTGTATTCTTTGGGCTGAATTATACTCCAGCCCGTGTCGTGGGACAGCTTGTCCCGCCCTTCATCTCCAGCCTGTGCGTGACCCTGGGTGTAAGGTGGACTCCCTTGTACACAGCACACAGTTGGATATCCTGGGACTTTGGGTCCAGTTCCAGCATTCGCGTGAAGGGTGACACCCCACGTCCCAGCGATTCCCGTCATCAGCCTGAGCACTGGGATGTCCAGGGGCAGCTGGCGAGGTCGGCGCCCACGGGCTCCGGAGCAGCCGGGGCTTTGTGTGTGCTGGAGACCGTGGCACCTTCACGCTGCACCAGCCCCTCCTCCCAGCGCCTGGGGAGATGGCATTCCTGGCGCCCTGGCTGCTGGCTGGTCGAGGCCATGTGACCCCATTCTGACGGAAGGAAGTCGTGGAAATCAGCCATCCAAGACCACAAGGGCAGCATTTGCCCAGAAACAAAGCTCAGTGGGCAGGAAGGGGCAGGAAAGGACGAATGGGGGGCTGGGAGGGTGGGGGAAGGGCACCTGCCGCCAACGCCAGGAAACAAAACGCCTGTGAGCTGTTGAATGGGACACTCATTTACTCTGTACACTTTCACCCAAACGGCGATAGAAAACATTTATTAAATAAAGTAAAAGTAACAAACCTTATGAGGCTTGCCCTTAACAGCCTCCCTGGCGCCCTCCAGCCCTCTTCCCCGGCTGTGGTGACCAGGAGCCCACACATCCCAGGGGTTGTAGCGACGACGTGCCGTGAAGGTTGGTCTGCGCCAGGCTTCCCAGGAGCAAGGACTCGGCCGTCCCTGTGTGACCCCTGGTGCGCGCTCGGCACCCCCTCCCCTGCCCAGCAGACCCGGTGGGCCTGCCACTCTGAGGGCTGCCTGGGTTTGAAGTCGTTTACCTCTTAGCCAGCTCTGTGTCCTTGGCCTTGCAGAGAGGCCCTGGAGGGTGCAACTGTCGAGTGGTCAACCATGAACGGAAAGGTTGGTTCAAACCCAGACCCACCTTGGGAGGGAGATGTCTGCTTCTGAAACGTCACGGCCTTGAAAGCCCTGTGGAGCGGTTCGGCTCCTGCACGGGGTCGGGGCACCGAGAGGGACCCCACTCCCCGGCATCGATGTGCGTGTGTGCGCGTGACCTTGAGCAAGCGACTTGCCCCTGGGAGTTAGCTCTGTGTGGAAATCGTGTGGAAGGCGATAGTCCCTGTGTCACAGGGCCGCCACCAGCTTGGATAAGTCAACGCACGTAACGTGCTCCGCCCGGTGCCTCAGCTCTTACTGACGTCACAGCTCTTACTGACGTCACAGCCCTCCAGCACACAGTGCACCTTCTCAGCTCCAAGCCCCGTCCACCTGGACCGGGGGCACCGGGTGTCCCACCGTGTGTCTGTCCGGTGTCCGTCTGTCCCGCTCAAGGCTGTCACTTCCTCTCGCACTCTCACCTTTTACCTCCCGGGTGTGCTGGCCCCATGGGCCACCATTCAAGGTCACCGTACTTGGAAGTGAGCCCTCGGCAAGGCCATCTCTGTCCTGGGGGGAGGACAATAGCAGGGTCACCGGATAAGGACCATGCCCGCCCTGAGCCTGGGGGAGGCCCCCGGGTGGAGGGTTGGTACGTGGGAGCCCCTCACTGTTGGCCTGCTTCCCCAGGGGCGTGTGTCTCCCAGTTGCCATCCGTGGGGAAAGGAAGGAAAAACCCAGGCGCCGCGGCCAGGAACACGGGTGGTCTGGGTCGTCTTCAGTCTTTCTTTGGAGAGTGTTAGGGTTCTGTTAGTTCCCTGAGTTTGTCCCCGTGGCTTCACCCCCTGCACTTGGTTATCCAGACGTGGCAGAGGCTTCTCTTCATAGTGTTTGTTCAGTGCCTCTTTACTTTCTGCTATGACCCCATCTTTCCCCTCCCCGCCCCAGCCCCTGGAACCACTAATCAACCTTGCTTTCCCCGCGTCTGCCTGTTCTAGATACGTCATCTGAGCAGGGCTGCACGTGGTTTAGTTACTTCATGCCACTCTAACAGAGAAATACCACAGATGGGCGGCTTGACAAATAGGAGTTTCTTCTCTTACGGTTTTGGAGGTTAGAAGTCTGGGTTCAAAGTGCCGGACTCCAGGAGCTGGGTGAAAGCC